GCTGTGAACATCTAACATTTCTACCAGAATATCAGTTTTCAAGGCTTGTGACAACTTTTCAATTAGATTTATATCTAGACTTTGACTAGGCCGTTATGTGATTCGATGTGCTGCATAGACACAAACTGCTTTCATAATTTCATAATTATAATTGTCAGCCATTGTTTATGTTCAGATTTAGCATGTCTGACTTCTTCTGGTGTAGAATTATAACGAATGTCTCACATCAACGACGTAAAAGTTGGATAAAAAGCGACATGACCGTTCAGACTGCAGACATTTTGAAAACCATCAAACATGATTTATTTCCACATGCAAAAGTGGAACAGATCAGATTTTATTTTGGGTGAAAAGACCAAAATTGGGCTAAAATCAGACTGCTGGGAAAAAGTTGGATTTGGGTCGCATGTGCCGCAGCAAAAATGTCCAGTTAAAAACTTAAAAATGTCTCCATTTAGGGTAAAGAAAATTTAAAAAACAGAGAACAGTTAGAGACCAACAGAAAACTGATGTTTCCCTGAACTATGCAGGTGGACAGGTTTTTCTGAGACTCCCTCACAGCCAGGACATTTTTCAGATACTTCTCTCCTCCCCACCAGCAGCCCAATCATTTCCTGCTGGTAAAATATGTGCTGAAAGCTACATGAGTAAGAGAAGCGGGTGAGAAAAACAAAAGACACACCTGTGTGAGCCGTGTGGCGGGTCCCACCCTGCCAGCAGCCCAGCGCCGAGCCCAGGAGCATCAGAGCCTGAAACTAAGGCGTTGTGGCCCCACAGGAATCTCAGGTACAGATTCTCCTTCTTCTTGACAAAGAGGCGACTTTTACTCAGTCACAGCAACTTTAATCATGACAATAACGTTAATTTGGGCGCTTTACATGCTGCCAACACTGTTTACATTTAGACTGTTTGCTGTCCAAAAGGCTGAGACACTGCCAGCGTCTCATAAATCATCAGATAACTTATGGGCAGGAAACTGCGTGAGATTTCTGTTTTTTTCCACATACTGAGCAGATAGTCTGCTGCAGAGCCGAGCTCAAACACAAACGTTCACCAGAGAGAATCCCAGTAAATCCACTCACCGCGGGTTTCAGACCGGCCGGACAAACAGATGCAAAGCCAGTCTTCAGTCAGGGGATGCTGCCGTTCGCTCCCACAAGGAAGCTAAGTTTAGGCTCCATGCAATCTTCCCAGGCTGAGTGACTCAGCCCAGCAGGGAGTCTGAGAGAAACGCACTAAACTCCTCCCTCACACACACACACACACACACACACACACACACACACACACACACACACACACACACACACAAAGCTAAGCAAACTTTCACAACAACCAGCACAAGTCGGGAGCTTAAGACACAAACATGATCCAACTGATGGGATAACAGCTGTTCCACCTACAAGCTGACCGGTAGCAAACATTACAACTTGTAGAGTGTCAACATAAAAATCATCAATTGGTCAATATTCCATTTATTATGGTTTAAAAGCAGCTCTAACCAGGTGGGTTTTAGTTTTGATTCATAGAAACTCAGTGTTTCAGCTCTTTTTCAGTTTTCTGGAAGTTTGCTCTAGTACTTAATAATCAATATTAAGAAATTATTGACCTAAAACAAGCTCCTACATCTTCTTAAAAAGTTACTTGTAATTTAGTTTTGTCTTATTTTAAGTGTAATAAGATATTTGCAGTAAGATTTTATGTTTTTACAGAGTAAACCTGACCAGAGCTCATCACAGCAAACAACTAAAATGGTTTCTGTTAACTTTTTAAATGAACCATTATTCTGTGAAAATCTAACATTATGCCGGTAAAAACCAGGGCTAGCATGTACCTTTAACCGAAGTCAGCTCTGACCTGTCCATGTTCTGCAGCTGCTCCTGGTCCCAGTCTAGTTATACGTTTATTGCTCTTTAAATAAACTGCCAGAGGACATGGCAGTGCATCGCCTCTGAGCTGTTTTACAAACAAAAAGAAGAAGCAAACCCAACTCGAGCCGGAAGCTTTCACGTCAACAGCACCGACTGGACAGAAAGGCTTGTGGTGAAAATCAGCTGAATGAATGTCGGGGGTGTGTGTTTATGCTGCTGAAGTTTTGACACCTGACTGCTCAGTGAGGAAGGAATGACACCTCGCTCTTTCAGGGAACCAGTTGGACCAGAATGGATTCCAATCATTAATTTCCCATCTGAAACGCCTCCAACCAAAGCACAACGCTCACAAACAGACGGGTGGAGAGGACAAGCAGCTGCGTTTAAACCTGCGGCTCTAAAAAAACAGAATGATTGAGCATTATTGACTAAAAACGCATCATCATCCTCACAACAACACAGAGGTAGCAAAGGTCAACCCTGCACATCCCTGCAGCCGTGGTGTCCTGCCAACAACAACGGTTGCACTTAATGGAGGAAAAATAGTAAAAATACATCTGACATGTATTACAGTTTGAGAACATTTACATATTTTTTCATTAGCATGACTTAATGCATCATAGCAGTCCACAATAATTAAATTGAATCCTTATATTCAAATCTATCAACATTTATTGATGTAAACAAGAGAAAAAAAGAGCTAAAAACAGCTAAAGTAACCAATCTAAGTCATTTTGGGTTTTAATTAATCATAAAATCTCTAGACTTTTATCAATAATTGTCATTCATTTTAAGCACACATGAAGCATCAGATCATAATGAGATGGTTAAGTCAGTTATTGTAATGTCCACTGTCGCCCCATGTTTGCTCAGGCAGAGCAAAAAACAACTCACTGGTTTTCCTTTGATCAATGATTGGATTTTTACCTGAATTTGGATCCAGTTGAACCTGAATTATTGTTATTTTTACAGTTAAATTCATAAATATCCCTCATATTTTAGAGTAAATTTTAAATCAACAGACACTACAGATGATAAAACCTAAAGCTGATCCGTTTTGTCTGTGTGCTCTGGTTCAGTGCTGGTGTGAATGAGCGTCCAGGCAGAGCGCAGTGGATCGCTGCGACCCGGTCGCTCTGAAACAGAACGCGGCCCAGAGTTTGAGGATCCGCCAGCTGCGGCGGCGCTGTGGTCTGCTGGGAGCCCTCTCTGGGTTTCAGGGCTTCCTGTGATGGCTAAGGTGAGAAACTGGTGCAGATGAGTATCTCATGTTGGAAACTGGCTGCCATGGCAACCTGATGCACAGGACGAGTTCAGAGCAGCTTCAAAGTTTAGAGCTGAGCAAAGGTTAACAGAGGAGCTGCAGCCTGCCTGCAGCAACATGCCCAACAGAAACATCACCTCAACATGTCACCTGACAACTAGACAACTAGCTAGGAAGCAACAGCCTTTTAAACAAGCTTTCAATGGAAAGTCAGGGTTTCTTCAGGTTTCACCAACTCAAATTTAAGACATTTTTAAGATTATGACACAATTTAAGACCTATATCTCCACAGAAATGTACAAACGTCGTCCAACCAAGTGGCAATAAAATTGCACTTATCCATGATAGATGCAATGAAGCTAGCTAGCTAGAAAGGGTAAATTAGCAGCTAGTTACCTCAACCATCTGGAGTCACAGAACACAGTGAAGATGCTACAATTGAACTAAATCATTCATTTGCATTTTAAATGCATTTCTAATATTATATTAAAAAGGCAAAAGCGGTTAAATGAAAAATCTGCAGAATGTGATCATTTTAAAAATCTGATAAATGAATTAACTGTCAGAATAACTGATTACTAAAATAACTGTCTGTTGTTCCTTTAAGTGATTTCTGAAGGCCTTAAGAGGCCCAGAGGTTTTCAGATGCAGCCAAGAAATAAAACAGACAAAATATCATTTTTCACGTTTTCAGTTGCTGACATACAACAGTGAGGCAAAAAGTTATGCTCAACATGAATTAAAAGTCAAATACATGCAGTGTTTAATTCCAAAATGAATCGCTCCTTTAAAAAATTAAAACTGGAGGTTCTGGATAATTACTTGCTTATAAAGAGAGCTCCAGCTGACAAAGAAAAACCTGTGCAAAACACTAAATTGTTTTCCAAGAAAAAAATAAATTGATGACAGAATTAAAGTGTGTGAAAAGGAGAAAGCAAGTCAGAGAAAACCAGAAAGAACTGATTTATCAGAGTGAAACAGACACGCCCCCCATAAACGCACACCTTTGTGATAAGAATAGAGCAGGAACTCGCAGCTTCTGTTTTATTTTTGCAGTCAGAGGCAGAACGCCTGGGAGACAAACAACCCTTTGACTTTTCATCCTGCATTTTCTCTTATATTCCAGGTTTTAATGCAAACATGCCGCCCCCTCCTCCTCTGTAGTGATACCATAAGAGATGCATGACAAAAGAAAGCTTCAAACCTCCCACACTGCAGAACCAACAGAAACTGCAGGAAATTCTCATCAATGTCAAATTTGCATAAAGTAGCATCTGCATCGCTGAAGTTTTACCCATCTGTATCAAATAAACAACAGTTACCTGCTAGCAAGTCAGACTGAAAATGGCTCTTTCAGGGATTTTTAGCTGCTTTTTGTGCCGTTATATTTTCAGTTTCACCTCGTATTTTCAGTAAACTGTAACAAGGACTTCTGCTTTCAGCCGTCTACAGAGCCAGGGGGTCCAGCCTTCTGTCACACTAAAGGTTTTACAGAGTTGATGCTCTGAGGCAGAAATAGAATCAATCACCTTGGATTGTTAGCAGATTTTAAGCTAGAAACAAACGAGGCGAAGCTGCTTCAGCTCCTTCAGGACAGGCGAGGAAACGAGCGGCTTAAACAAGAAGCCTGGAAATTCCTCTAAAGTTTTCTCCTCTCACATCCTTCTGTGGAGACTGTGGTGATTTTATAGAAGCTATAAAGCCTAATCACTGTTATAGAATCATCAGATATAGATTTATTGTGGAAACTGTTTTTAACCCCTAATTCTTCTAATTCCCATAAATGTCCCAGTTTTCTATCCGACGGTGGAAGCCTGCACGTAAAACGGGCAGCAGGTGAGGTAAACAGAAGCGATGCTTCCTACCTCTGGACTGGTCGATTTTCACCGCTATGCAGGCCTCATCATCAGCGCTTCTGGTCTGGTAGCATGGAGTTTTGCCTTTCCTTTCTGCAACAAAAAAAACGCAACAAACAGAACAGAGTTATTTCTTTCTTTGTAAAACGTCAAAAATTGTTGTTCTGCAAACAAGGAGCTAAAAGCAAAATCAAAAAACATGTTTTACTTAGGACCAGCACCGGGATGATGAGTGAGGACGGGTATCAGAATATAAAACTGACAAACTATAACAGAGAGGAATTTGATACCAAAGACTTTCCTTCCATTTGCATTCATTCAAACCTGGAGCAGACGTTGCTTTGTTTAGTAAATGGAAAGGAGCCTAGCGCCCCTTGGAGACATATACCCTAATTAGCCTGGATGTGATCCGTGGGGAGACCCAGCAGTCTTTCCACACAGTCGGTTAATATGCACATAAAAGATTAAAGAGAAAACAGTAGTGGTCGTAAAAGCAGCGATGAGACTGCACCAATCACACGGCCCTTTAATAAAGCAGATCCTCTCATACAGATTAGAGCTCACAGATACAACAGAGTGAAGGAGGAAACACCAGAGCTGAAACCAGAAGTGTGACAAACATGACTGCAGTATCACACGTAAACCATTTAACATAAAAATTACTCAAACAGCAGCACAAATCAAAACTTTATTGATCTAATTTAATCTCTGTTTAGTGGAACAGTGGGCTATAGTGCACACACTTCTGCTAATCTGATAATCCATTAATAGGGCTTACGCGCTAATTTGAATGTAGCGCTTAAAATAACTTGGAAATGTTTAACACACTTAGTTTCCCCTAAATTAATATTTCCAGATAGATTCCAAACCACTAATCTTATAAATATTCTATTATTTTCTCACCACCTTCAGCATCATTTCAATAAAGGTCACAATGATCGGCCAAACCATCATTCTGAGCTTTCACCTTTTACACCAACAGCAACATATAAAAGATATTTAGGGACATACCAGGAATCAGTTACCTAAAAAATAATTATTCAGTCTTTAATTTGGGATCAAATTAAATGTTTATCCATGTAAATATTTCATTTTGTGTTAGTATTAAAACTCTTTGGTGTATTTGTCAGTGGTGTTCACATGTCAACTAATGCGCTAATAATAGAGCTAATTTTTTGTTTAGCACTTTTGCTAACTTTTAAAATGTTTAATGCGCTTAGCTTCCAATGAATTCATTTTTTCTAATTATTTATAAAGTTTTAATTTACCTGTTTTGTAAACCTTCAGTTGAATGAAGTTCAACATCTGTGCTGGAGTTTTAGCTACCAACAGTTTTCCTCAAGTAGTTAGCTGTTTACATTCATGCTCTTAATTTGAAGGGGGTTCCGTTTCCTCTCCTCTTCCCCCCCAGAAGCTTTATGACCAAATGTTAAATATACAACTAGCAAATTAATGAGGTACACACCAAAGTATTCAACACTTACATGACCTACATGCAAAATTTACATATATTTATTTTATATATTTTTGTTGGTACTTTTCACGATATATAGTTGAATTGAATGCTTTAGTATTAGCTTCTGCTAAATATGATGTTGGTATAGTATAGCACTTTATTGTTAGCTTTAGGGTTAGCGCAGCTAGCTTTTCAGCTAGCCACCATCATTTATCAGTGACACAGAAACTGACCTCTCAGAGCAATATGGGTAAGGTCAGTGGTGAGTTCACATAAAAATAGAACTAAAATTTAGCAAAAATAATAATTATAATACAACAGATCTTGATCTAAACCAGAATGTCGTTGGTTGGATGTTTCGGCTCGTTGTTACACTACAAGGTGAACCTCACCAGTTTCAGATCTTCTGCAGAAAAACAAGTTTTCCTCCAGGATTGTCCTGGATTTAGCTTCATCCATCTTCCCATCATCTCTGACCAGCTTACCCATCTCTGCTGCACACATTCAGTACCTAATTCATGGGGGGGTCACGCTTTTCTTGACCTGAGCTGAGTATTTAGGACGGATCAGTCCGGATGTAACAGTGCAGTAGAGCTAAACTCAGTGCGTCAATGATGACATTTAAAGGAAAAGTTGCCTCTCTACATGGGGGCGGGGGAAACTGATTCAGTTATATTTCTGTGTGTGTGTGCGTGTGTGTGAAGTGGGGGTAGGGGAGGTAATATTCTGGCTCAGGGATTAAAGGAGGGCTTTCTCAACACACCATCTGGAGTCCTCATGGCCAGCCTGCCTGCTGTTCCTGCACGCAGACACGCCCACATGCAGACATACAAACTCCTTTTTTACACAACACAAACCCAGAAAAATTCCTTTTGGAGACTTTAAAACATGGAAGCAGCTTATAAGAGAGTCAGTTCACTCCAAACCAGACTCAACCTGCCACTCCCTCTCCTCAGATGTGATTCCTCACATCCATTGTTTCTAAAACTGGGGTATGCTTTTCCACGTCTACACTGACCAACATGCACACATAAATAACATAAAAAACATCTGTGACCCTATGTTTGACTAGCTGCTTAATGATGAGCGATGCTGAGAATTTGCATTTCCAGCGACTTGTCTGACCCAAAACTTCTTCTTCTTGTAGATTAACTTCCTCTTTTTTGTTTTGTATTTTTCAAAATATAACCTCAGCATTTCAACTATCAGCAACGTAAAACAGTGAAAACTCAAACAAAAGGAGAAACTTCAGACATCACGTGCACAAAGGGTTGCGATGTTGGTCAACATTTACTAACAAGAACAACTTGAGTTTGTGACCTTGATCAGTTGCGAGAAAGAGAGAAAACCACAGATAACTCCATGGTTTGCAGGAATTTCTTTGATTTACAGTAAGAGGAAAACACATTTATTCACATTATCAATAGAGGAACTGAAACAAGTTTTTACTTTACTGCTAAAATGTCAAGAAACAATCTGCAAATATGGAAGTTTGCTGAGCATCTGGCAATGTATTCTTGTTTCTTTGTTTCATTTCTAGCAAAAATAGATTACATGTCATCTAAAAATCTTCTACATGTTGATTATAATGATCAGAAGAACAGAAGATGATGAAATGGGCCAACTTTAATCTCTAATAAAAGTTTCCAGAGAGAATCTGGTTCAAATGGTGCAGGAATGCTCTCCCTGCCACACATTGGTCAGACCAGTGGCTCTTAACCTTTTTTGAGGTACCGAACCCACCAGTTTCATATGCGCATTCACTGAACCCTTCTGTAGTGATTAATAAAATATGATTTTCCCCCCTCCAAATTCAAGACATAGGGGTGACCCAGCTAGAGTCTAGTTGACTCACCCCATGATCACCAAGTCTTCTTAAAAGGTAGAGTTTCTGAGAACAGTTCTTCAAAATATAGTCAGTGTTTTCAGAAAGGTTGAGCTGACTGTCCAGGAACGAGCCAAGGTATTTAAAATTTGCCACAGTTTCAACAGGTTGGCCATCGAGAGAAACTGGAATCACGTTAAGGTCTTGTTTAGATCATTTAATTAGCTCTACATTCTTAAGAGAATGCAAAATTAATAATAATAAAGACTTTGCGGTATTCTGATTTAGTAATGTAATTATATTAGTTGTGTTACCACCCCCACGCCACTAGAGGCAGTAGCAGGCCCGAAAAGATGCGACTAAGGAGCAGATTTAGAAGTACACCGAAAGCTACAGAATTTGGTAAAAACGGTGAACTTTGCTGAAGTAATTAAAGACAGAAGTTCAAATCCCTGCTGAGAGTGGAGCTCCTTCAATCAGGGCTCCTCCGCAGCTCTGATTGGCTCAGCAATGTAACGTGATCCTCTGCAGCAAGTGATGGCAAAGCGGGGCGCCATCATGACTTTACACAGTGTGTCTTTACCTCCGCGGCAGAGGCTCCGCCGAACCCCTGAGACCGACTCACCGAACCCCTGGGGTTCGATCGAACCCAGGTTAAGAACCACTGGGTCAGACAAATCTGACACTTTCAGAAACTCAGATTTCCAAAGATCTCAACGCCTTTTCAGCAAATACTAAATTATTAATGCAAAACTTACTGGATTCATGGCTGATATTTCTACAGTAGTTGGTGTTCAAGCTCGAAAAACTGACTGTAAAGAAACCTCTTTACAGTCAGTTTTTTTTGGATGGATGGATGGATGGATGGCCAGACATTGGACATCAGTAGATTTTAGACTCTTTAAAGTAGAAGTACAGCAATGCATTCTGGGAACAGAATAAACATCATTTGCTGCTGCCTTCATCCATTTCAAAATAAGAGCATGGATATAAACATCTATCTACTTGAAGGACTCTTAATAATTGATAACCAGACTTTGAACACAGATATCAAACTTTATTCAACAGATTCTTCACAAACAACCAAGTAAATTAGCATGTTTGAATTTATCCAGAAAAATCAATTTAAGGGCTGCTAACTGTGCCAAACATTTTCAAAGTTAAAAAAAAGCTAAAGGAAAAATTAGCTCTGTAAGTACAATAGTGGAAGTGAACCCAACACTGAGCCTAATAGCTAATGTTACATACCCTGCCCTGATGCAGCAGATAAATGGAAGTTTTACACACTTCATCCCAATATGCCTGCACTATACACAACACAAAAAGACATGATGCTTCACAAAAATCTCTTCTTTTTCACGTTTATCCCATGTAAAACATGTTGTTACATGTGTGAACATGTGTTCAGAGAAGAACCTGTGTGACTGAGGAATCCAGCCTCTTAAGCCTTTTATAATGTCTGTTCCTGACAAGTGGGAACAAAAACCGAAAGTTAAAACACGTCTCAGCGTCTAAAAACCCGACTCCAAATGTTCCCTGTGAATTCCTCTCAACATGTATGTCCATCGACGCCGGACTTCAAGGGTTACTGTACAGTTTGTTTATACAGGATAGTCGATGAGTCGTGACTTGTTTGAGACTTATCAGATCCTCAGAAGAATGTTTGTGTGAAACATATTTAGTTTATGTTATCTCATAATCAAAGTGTGGTGTGAAGGAATCATATATTGCAACACACATTCTCTTTGTGGTTATCGGCAACATTTATCAGCTTTAGAAGACGGAAAAGTGCATCTGACCTCCAATCAGCAA